ATTTTTAATATTTACGATTTATACTTTTATAGTTATTTATTTATATATATACTATATATTTTGGGGTTAGGCTGTCCAAATTGCACTGTATAATATGTTTTGAATTAATATGTTTTGAATTAATATGTTCTTGGGTTTTTTCCAAATATATATATATATATATATATACATGTATTAATTCAACCTTAATCTGAGTTTCTGGACAAGAAAGAGGGTAAACATTTGAAATTTCATTCTAAAACCCAATTTTTTTTTGTCTTTTCATGGCTTATGATCTATCAAATTTGTAGTTTTCTTTATTGGTTTTGAGTGTTTATCTTAAAACTCAAGTTTCTTGGTTCTTTGCTCTTGGTGTAAATCGAATACATTTGTGGAGTCGTTTAAATATGTTGGATTTTAAATATATTGGATTTTAAATTGTCATACAATTTTTTTTATCGATAGTCTGTGATTGGAACCATAACTCTTATTTATTCAAATTGTATTAATATGTAAAGACCAAGTGTAACCGATGTTCCTATATCATCGTTAAATCTTATCCTATAAAACCAATGGAACTTCAAAATCGTTAAAATTCATGGCTCCCGCCGCATTGCACGGGTACACAACTAGTCATGATTAAAATTAAGAAAATTGTATTTGGAAGTGGCAGGGGAAGCCAAAGTCATAGATTATGAAGTATTATCATTAATGTATGATGTATCTAGCTTTATTTGATAGACTTGGTGGTAAATTTGGAGCCACAGAAGATTGTGGTCCTAGTTCTAGTGTTCTTGGATCCTTCTGCACTAATCATCTTAATTACCATTACCCCGTTCCCTATGTGAACTTCATTGTGCTAATTTTGTTCGTGATTTGGGATTTGGTCTTCCTACAGTTCTGCGGCTTATAAATATCATGTGCAAACTAATCAGATCATATAAGTAGAGAACAGCGTTGGATACTCATTTTTCATTGCCTGCATTTGTTGATTCCCAGACGTGAGCTCTTTCTGAGTTCAATTTATAACATTTAGCACTTTGCTTCTGCTGAGATGTAACTTGATTCTTTCCGAATAATCTTAGTAAGAATCTCCTCTTGGAGAGAGAAAGAAAAAGAAGGAAAAGAAGAGATCAAAATAAGTTCTATCCTGGGTTAACAGTTCGGACAATATAGTGGTTGCTGTGGAAGCCTAGGTATAAATAGAGTTGTTTAACAGAACTTATAGAGGCTATATATTCTGAACCCTGTGAAGGGCAGGGCGATGCTTACCAATGTGTGCATGTATGCCTTTTGTGCTTGTCAGTAGTTTTGGATGAAAGGGTTTATATGGCCCCCTCATCTTTCTACTCGGTGCTGTATGAATGCTTTTATGAAGAAAAAGCAAAAATACAGAACAGAACTTTAATCAACATGAATCACAGCTATGCATTTTATGCGCTAAAAAGCTGAACCGAAGACCTTTAGGCCTCCCACCATACTTGAATAGTTACTTGGATCAAGTCTTTCTTTGCGTAAAGGAGAACTTTTATCTATTTTTGAACATGGTTTTTCTTTTGAAACAAAATAGAAGCTCAATCTCTGATACTGCATCAGATGCTAGAATCTTGATGCCTTGATGGTATTGTTCAATGCACTTAAGGAACAGGATGAAAGCAGCCTTCATAAGATGGTCTTGACGTTTCAAGTAAATCAAACTCACATAAGTCACATAATGTGAAGGACTTGTTGCTCTGTGAAGGACATGGTGGGCACCATGTTGCATTGTTTTTTGTGGTTCCCTGCAGCGATGCCACAATGTGGCACCATAACAACTATCCACATGTCATTTCTTTTGGATGATATAATTTCATATCTAATTTATCATAGCTTGCATGTTCATTTTTTCTAAACATTTTGGCTTTTCTGTATAATGCTTTATACAATATGAGCTCACATATCCATACCATAACCCATGTTTTCAGGAAACTTATGGTCGCACGTTAACTTCTTTGACAAAAACCGATGAAAACTTGTCCGACTCATTGATGAAAGTTACGGCTCTTGAAAATGCTCTTACTGCTGCCGGTGAGAAGTTCATCTTTATGCAAAAGCTTCGTGACTATGTTTCTGTTATATGTGACTTTTTGCAGGTAAGGATAGATTTAATTTATGAGTTGGCATCGTCTTAAGTTCCTTTTTTTCATCAGCTAAAAGATAAATTTGCAATTTGTTTCTTTTATGTCCTATCTGCTTTATTTGTTGTTCACCCTTACAGTACAAACAGAAGATAACCAAAAATTACTTACAATCTTTTATCTTGATTTTGAGCACCAATACTGCTGAATCATCATAAGATGGTCCCCTGTTCACCGTACATGAATTAGAAAAACGATAAGATAATATAGTTTCTGGTAAAAAGTATGTCGTGTTTGCTCACACAGAACCACTTCATTGGTAGAAGAGGGAGTTGATAAAGGACCTTGAACGTTGTATTTGAAGTTTAGGAAGAATTTCTATTGTAGTACTGAATTGTGTTGTTTTCAGCAAAGATCAAAGTCACTTGCTTAGTTGCTTATTTATATAGCTAGCCATCTTAGGCAGTGGAGTTAAGTTCTGAGGAGACAAACATGTTGGTGGGTGAATTAGTTTAATTAGTTGGTAAAGTTTACTCTTCAAAGGCATGATATTTTAATAATGGATGATGGATCAATGGGGAAGATGGAAATCGGAAACTTGAAGCTGATGGTAGTGGATCATAGTGACTTTATGGTGGTCTGGTTATGTCTTTAATCATTTTTGTTTCAGGTGTCCCCCTACCCTTTTCGCTGTGCCTTGATGATGTAGCCATAAATCTTGGAATAAAATCTCTGTGGAAAACTATGAACTTGTAGTTCTTGATAGAAGTGCCAAAAGCTTGAAAGTGAAAGTCCTGCAAATAATCTCTTTTTTGTTACTGCTTTTAAAAAATATTTCTTTTGTTATGCTAAACTGATAATCTCAATACTGAAATTTCTATTCATTTATATACACTTCTGAAATTAGGACGACTTTGTTTTGGAGGAAACTAGTGCCATCCGAGAGTCTTCTTAGTCTTCGTGGTAGCGGGCCTTGCTTCTTTTCTTTGCTATTGAATCTGCTAACACGACCATAATAGTATTTGGTGAAGAAGATAGCTAATAAAAGATTAAGATACCCTTTCTATAGTTGAATAAACTGAAGTACTGTAAATCCCTGATAAGTAACCCTGATTACAACTAATAGCATCCAACTGTACCACATAATAAAACAGAGATTTCTTTCGTTGATAGACTTCTTTAAACTCCAATTTTTGGTTGATTCTTCAGTGAGATTTCATCATTTCTAAGCTACTTTCCATTTTAGGGTTTTCTATTTATTGAATGCTTCATAAGCCAAATGGGTTTTTTTAATTGAGTGATATTGTTATTTAAAAATCTATAAGATACTTGAATTTTCTGAATTTAGATATTTCAAAATCAAATATAATAATAATAATAAGAGTAGAATACAGATTTGGTCCATCAAAATTATGGATTGGGTCCCTCAAACGAATTAATTACACATATCATCATTGTGGTTTCAGTTATGTTTGGTCCCTCAACCCAACTCTGTTAAAATAACTTCAGTTACATTAAGGGGATGTTTATCTTTTTGTTAATATTTAAATAACAAAACATCTAAATAACAAAAACCAAAAGCCACCCTTCCCCCCAAACCACATCTCTTTGATCTTTCCCCCAAAACCACCCCATGATTTTTCTAAAACCAAAACTACTTCTCCTTCCCGCAAAACCACCCCACCATTCTCCCCAAACCTAAAAACCGTCATTAATGACTGCAACCTAATCTAGATTTAAACCCACCTTATTCGTTTTCCTGGCGTAACCACTCACCCATGGTTCATTTTTCAACGTGACAACCCAGCCATGGTTTGTTCCTGGTTTGACAACCCACCACCACCTAAAAAGGCCGATGGATCCACCTTGCCCCTTTTTCCAGCCTGAGACCAACCATCATAACTTTGGTTTTGAGTGATTCCTTTTGTGTGAAGATGTAGATAAGGTTAAAACTTCTCCCAACTAAACCCCCTGCGATTTTTTGATGCAAATTTGTTTTGTTTTTTAAGGTTTTTTCGATCTATATTTTTTATTTAGTCTTCCAAAATTTTCAGATTTGTATGTGGTTTAGGTTTTTGAGGTTTTTCATATCTCCAGTTGGTGGTATTGGGTTGGGAGTCGGCCAGAAAAACGGGGGAGGGAGCGAGGGTTGTTCCGTGAGTTGCAGGTGTGGAGGGAGGGTTATTTACCAGGAAAATAGGGGAGGGAGAGGCACAGGAAAAGAAAGGGGGTAGGAGGGAAAGAGGGAGACCAAAGAAGAAGGAAAGGTGGCCGCCGGGGAAAGGGGAGTTTCACCATCATTGGAATTTGGAACTAGGGGAGAGTGGTTTAAATACATGCTTCTATTATATAATCTTTTATTCTGTAAAGAAAATATAAAAAAATGTAAAAGGACCATAATAAATTTGTATAAAACCACAGGGGCCAAATCTGTAATTTACTCTAATAATAACAATACTGCCTTTTGTCTTAGAATATGATATTACAGTAAGACTCTTGTATTTATTGTTATAAGAATATCCTTAAAAGCTAAATTAATATTGATTTAGTTAGTGTTATTTTGTAGCTCCTTAAAGTTTATATTTCAAATAATTATGTTAGCTATCTTCAGAGATTAGGTGGAGAAGATCTTATGTTGCTAATCGGTTGGGAAAGAAACTTCCTTCATTGCTAGATAGATTTAGTGTGATTATAACTTGATGTTATACTCGGACAGAAGCTCTTTTTGTACATAGTTTTGATGTCTTTGCTTTTTAGCACAGATGTCTGGTCCATTTCATATAATGCCAAAGCTGATATGATTTTTTTTTTCCAAATTCAGGATAAAGCTCCATTCATAGAGGAATTGGAGTACCAGATGCAGAAGCTTCACAAAGTACGGGCAGAAGCAAACTTGGAAAGAAGAGCAGCTGATGGTGATGATGAGCTGGTGGAAATTGAAGCATCCGTGAATGCAGCAATGGCAGTATTTAACAAAGGCGGTAGCACTTCTTCAATGGTTGAAGCAGCCAGTAGTGCTGCTCAGGCTGCATTGACTGCCTTAAGAGAATCAAGAAACCTTCCTGTGAAGTTGGACGAATTGGGTAGGGATGTTAATCTACAGAAACGTCTGGACATGAAACGAAGGGCGGAGTCACGACAACGACGAAAGGCTCAGTCTGAGTCCAAAAGAATGTCGTCTATGGAAACTGATAGTTTGCATCGTACAGTAGAAGGAGAATCAAGCACAGATGAGAGTGATGGGGAGAGCACAGCATATGAATCCAACCGTGATCAGTTACTTCAAATTGCTGGACAGATCTTCAGTGATGCAGCTGAAGAATTCTCTCAACTTTCAGCAGTTAAAGAAAAATTTGAAATGTGGAAAAAAGATTACTCGTCTAGCTACAAGGATGCATATATGTCATTAAGTATACCTGCAATCTTCTCTCCTTATGTAAGGTTGGAGCTTTTGAAGTGGGATCCACTTCATGAAGATTCAGATTTTATTGATATGCAGTGGTACGTACGCTCTGCTCAAATTTCTTGAACCTGAGAGGAAGGCTTTCATGCCTGTGCCCTTGTATAGCCCAGCAGTTGAGTGGGTGAGTAATCTGCTGGCAAGGTCAAGGTTTTCATGATGGATGTATGCCTTTCATGAAACAACCACTAAACTTATTGCTTTTGCTTTTATGCATAATTCTTTTCCTTTTCCTCACACTAGGTTGTCATTGGTGAATCCAACGATATGCTATATGTCCCATTGCATACTAATTTGTTTTCCTGGCTTACACGGTCCTTCAAAACTATCTTAATGTTGGTTTATCTGTTCAGGCATGAATTGCTCTTCAATTACGGTCTGCCTGAGGATGAAAGTCAAATCAACTCGGATGATGCTGATGTCAACCTTGTACCTGATTTGGTTGAAAAGGTTGCGATTCCTATATTACAACATGAGATCGCTCACTGTTGGGATATGCTTAGTACCAAGGAGACAAAGTGTGCTGTAGCTGCTACTAACTTGGTTTTTAGATACGTTCCCCATTCCAGCAAGTCTGTCAGTGAACTTGTCGCTGTTCTTCGTGACCGGCTTTCTGATGTTGTCGCTAATCTGATGGTATAGAATTTCTTCGTTTACTTTTAATTTTTTGCTTCACAAGCCAAGGGGTCTTCAAGAAAACAGCCGCTCTACTATTTGAGGTAGAGGTCAGGTCTGCTTACATCTTACCCTCCCAGATCTCTACCTCCAGGTGGGATGTACTGGGCTAGTTTTGTTTGGTTTTGGTTATTTTTATTTTATTTTATGGGGTTATTTAATAAATTATGAGTACTTGTATGACAATTCATTAAATTGGTGAATAGGTCCCCACGTGGAACACCCTTGTATTGAAGGCTGTTCCAAATGCAGCTAGATTTGCAGCTTATAGGTTTGGCATGTCGGTACGTCTAATGAGGAACATATGCCTGTGGAATAATGTTCTTTCAACATCCATTCTTGAGAAGCTTGCTCTTGATGAACTCTTAAGTGGAAAAATTCTCCCTCATCTTCGAAGCATTCAATCTAACATTCATGATGCGATCACAAGGACTGAGAGAATCGTTGCGTCAATGTCTGGCATGTGGACAGGTCCAGGCGTCACTGGTGAGCGAAGGTATCGTCTTCCAGTTCCTTTCTCATGCTCAGTGGGTGCATGCCTGCTAGTTATGGTTTTCTAAAAGTTGTTCCTTTTTCTTATTACACTTGCTTAGCCATGTTATACATGATGCCTAATTAATGTGTTATCCCACCGAGGGCTGCTTCAGTGTTGAACTTTTAGTTTCATTAGTTAAAGCACACCCCTCCTTCCCATTGGCCCGCGCCTTGACAAGGCTGTTGCCCCTCCAAACGAGGTCGTACTGAGGACCCACGACTGGTCCCAAAACCACATCTGGCAGATGCGATAAAATAAGTGTCCAGATTTCTATTTTAGTTTGTCCCAAAGTAAGTGTCTATTTTCAAAAGCAAGTGCCTATTTTCCAATTCTACTCTTTATTATGAGATGGAGATATTGATTACTTCCTCTGTTATCAAGGGTAAGGTTGCCATTTTGTTAATTAAAAAGTGTAATAATTGCAAAGTTCTAAAACTATGTGCCTTTCATCGTGGACATTTATTTTTGGATGGAGGGAGTATTATATATTATATTTGAGCCAATGTGCCTCTGCATTCTCACCAGGGGTTATAACTATTCCCTTGGCTTCCAACTGAAAACAATTGATTTTGAGTGTGAATATCGCCCACGATGATATAACTTGCATCACCTAAGTTTCTACCTTCAGGGATTTTTAGAAGCTTTGATGAACTAGAGTTACTGTTCTATCTCATTACCATTACATCAAAATACCATCAGGCCCGATAACCTTCATTTGATGTTAAACGTTTTTTATGTTCTTGTCCTCTGTCTGCATTTCTTGACATCAAATTCTTCTCTAATCACCTTAATCTTTTCTATGATTGCGGTTTCACTTAGTTTCATAGTGATGCTTTGTTCTAAAGGACAAATTGGTCCTGGGTGTTGTTAGATCAAGAATATAAATACAGTGTGGGCTATTTGATTAACTGGTAGTTTGATAAGCTATAGTTTCTTCACCAACTTATATTACTTTAAATGTTTATTTAGATCTTTGGTGCTTGCCTATGAAATTTTCTGCTAAAAGGAGTTGTGCTTTAAAGCTTAACCATTTTGTTTTGAAACATTTATCAGATATCTTTGTCGTGTGCCACAAACTTGTTTTCTTGCCATAAAGTCATGATTTCTATGTACAAGTTTTAGTGCTGTTTTAGCTTAATCCTTCCTTTCACACAGTAGAGGTCAGGTCTGTCTACATCTTACCCCTAACCCCACCTCCAGGTGGGATATACAGGGTTCATTTGGTTTCAGCTTGATCATTTTTTAGCTTGCTGTTTTGAATTGATTCCGAGTCATGTGTTGGTGTGATATTTTCAGCCTAAGATTGCAACCCATGGTGGATTATTTGCTTGTTCTTGGAAGAATATTAGAGAAGAGGCAGAGTTCTTCAGGGACAAATGGACTTGCTCGCCGGTTAAAGAAGATGCTAGTTGAACTCAACGAATATGATCATGCCCGCCAGGTCTCTAGAACCTTCAATCTAAAAGAAGCTCTCTGATCTCTGATGGTATTTCTGGTTCATAACTTTTTCGTATCTTCTAGTAGCTCGGTTGTCGGAACTTGTAAAAGTAGTTTGTTTTCCCTCTCTATTTTACAATATAGTGCAGAGAACCGCAAGTCATTTTAGTAAAATAGTAATCAAACTGATCCTTAAGGATTTCTGTGACATTGTTCTTGTACGCTCATTTGACTATTTGAGTACTTTTTTTGTAAGTATATAAAATACGGGGAATACTCACACCCACTGTGGTGAAACTTGAACCTTGACATCCTGGAAAGTTGGGTTACCGGCGGTAGTCAAGACTGACAATGTCATTTGCAACTCTTAGAAAGAGATTAAGGAGCTGTTTACCAAACGCTTACTCGGATAAGCGTTTACCAAGTCAAATTACTTCATCGGATGATATGGTAACCAAGAATCTTACCCGAAAGAGCGAGACAATGACCAAGAATCTTACCCGGTAAGTGAGGAGGCGACTCTTACCAAGGTAAGCGCTTATTGGGTAAATTGTTACATGCGATGTTTTGTTGGACTAAAATCTTACCTGGTAGATAAATAATAGTATTAAATTTTATTGGTAAACATTTACTGGATAAGTATTTGGTAAACGGTCCCTAAGTAAACATATCAAATGCTCTAATTGGCGGCCTTACCTTTTGTATTCCAAAACCAACCCATGTTACTTGAAGGCGGGGCCTACTATCAAAACCGCCATGGTATGTCATACCTAAAGATGGGGATAGTCAATAGTGTATGCAAACATGACATCTACCTGTTTAACATTGCTAAACTAAAATGCTTCAAGGTCTCAAACAAACAAACAATGCAATAACCCATCAACAATGCAAACCTTCATGGCCAAGAAGTACCAATCACCGAGATACTAACAAACCCTATACGACGCAATATAGATCTAATAACATAACAACATGAGGATTTGAAACCACAAGGTGGTGCCTGATTGGTTTAAGCTTGGCTCTAAAGGTCAAAAGTATCAGAAGGTCCCAGGTTCACATCCAAAGATAAATAAAAATGCCCTTGTGGCCACGGGGGTTCAAATGCGGTAACTCCGGGCTATCTGCAAAGCAGGTGATCACATGGGCGGACCTGTAAGGGTGGCACGTGCCACCGTATGATTTCGCCACCGAAGGGTAAAATTTTTAGGTTTCTCAACGGTGCTACCGTATTATTTTGGAAGGTGCTACCGTATTATTTTGAAAGGTGCTACCGTATTCAATAATTCAAACATAACAATTAAAACCCAAACAAAATAAAGCCCAATTGTCCAACTTAATAAAATGCAAAGCCCAATTAACTTATTAACATTTTCAAAATTTGATTAATAAAATGCAAAGCCCAAATGCCCAATACAGACTATTAAGTATTACCTCTTGGGCTGGCTCCTGGCAGGATTAACAAGCCTATTGAAGTTGAGTCAGATGTATCCCCGAGATTTTGAAGACAAGGAAAGGATCATTCTTGAGCATGAACTTGATATCTACTATCATTCTGTTTATAATGATGTTAGATTTGCCAACTTAAATGGTATTGCCGACCTCGCCAGATTATTGGTGGCAACAAGAAAGCATCTTTCTCATCCTTTAGTCTACCAGTTATTGAAACTGACACTGGTTTTACCTGTTGCAACTGCTACGGTTGAAAGATGCTTTTCGGCGATGAAGCTTGTCAAGACAGATTTACGTAATCGAATTGGTGATGATTTTTTGAATTCTGCCCTCATTTGCGCCGTAGAAAAGGAAGCCCTTAGTAATGTTAAAAACGAAGATGTTATCGATCGTTCCAAAAGATGAAGACACGCCGATGACAAATTTAGAAGTTGTTTCTCAACATACTTTTTGTAATTATTTTTGGGTATATATTGACCGTTTTCAAAAGATGAAAACGCGTCGGGTACAAGTTTAGAAGTTGTTTATCGGTACCATAAAAACCATATTTTTTGTAATTATTTTTAGATGTACATTATATTATATTAATTATATGGTGCCACCGTATGGAAAATTTTCTGGGTCCGTCCATGGGTGATCGTCCTGCGATTAGTCGGCTCGCATAGCGGGTTGGATATCCAAGTTAATCAAAAAAAAAAACAAAAAAAAAAAACATAAAAAAACATGAGGATTTGATGTGGTTCCACCATCGGTGAGGTACGTAGTAGTGTGCATTTACCTGGGAGAGATGGTGGTTCGATATAAAAGAGTTCTTACTGCTTACAAAAAATGTTTTTTTACAATTTGTAAGCTCTAATAATTTTCTCACTTGTTCAATGTTACATGATAAAAACCACACGAATAATAGATGCTAAAACCCCCTAGCATTTTAGCTCATTTGCCGTATGCGATATTCACAAAGCAAGAATTGCCATTCGCCTATGTCCCAAATCACTGCTTTGCCCACCGTCGCATTCAACAATGCCCAACTCGGTACCGTAGCCTTGCCCCTTTGATTCCATCTATGCCACCTGGTAGTCGCGACCAAGGCAAAGCCAAGATCGCGTAGCATCTAGTGGTGGTTGTGGGATCAGACATAACTCATGACGGTACCCATATACATCTTACAAGTACTGGGAATATATTTAGGGGTGGGTTCAAAGAACCACTAAAAATGGACACCAAACAAATCTTTCATCAACAATCAGTCCATTTTGATCTAAACGATTGTAAATAATAGAGGCCATTTCATTTTTCCATCATAGGGGCGATTATATTTGAATCTAAGCCATCTATTTTTATCCAATACTTCATAGAAGTTCTTCCGTTCTCCATTTTTTGGGTTCTTTCTTGAATCTCCCTCTTATATAATAGGATTAAGATAATGCGAGAAGTGAGTCAATTTGCGAGAAGGCGAAAAGTTCAAAGTTCAAATTTGATTACAAAGTATAAATGTGAGAATATCACATGTGGTACAAGATGTCTAAAAGGACGCAAAGGTTGCGATCCATCGCTTGCTATCACAACATGTTTATATGACATATGATTTTGTAACTTCTTACTTTCTTACAAATTGATTGTCTTTCACGTTTCATGTAATTCTAAGTTAAGGGTTCATCATAATTGTACATGCATTAATGTTAATCTTTATATTTGTTATATATATATATATATATATATATATATATATATATAGGGGAGCGATCAAATGCAAACCACTCAATTTGTACAAACAGTGCAAACCGCATTCAATCAATCATAATTTTTCATTTTGTTCATTTTTTTGTAATTGTGAGAGGTTGATTAATCATTTTTATTGTGGAGGGTGTTAATCATAGATATTATCATCTTCATAATTTTAATTTTAGA